ACCCCAGAGATGTACGGGAAGGAAACCAGGGAAGACCCGACGCTAGCAAAGTACAGGGCCAGGGCCGATTCTGGGGGAGAAGGAGTAGATGGGGAGCACTACGAGTGGGTGGGGGATAGACTGTACAGGATCCTGAAACCGTCCCAGAAGCCGAGTACCCCTCCGCAGAATCGACAGCTAGTGGTACCTGCCAAATACCGGCAGGAGATTCTGCGGATTGGGCATGATGTGCCATTAGCAGGCCATCTAGGTTCCCACCGCACAGCTCATAGGATCACACAAAACTTCTTCTGGCCCAATTTTAACCGAGATGTGCGGATTTATTGTAGCACGTGTGACACCTGTCAACGGGTAGGTAAGCGGGGGGGGAATCACCCAAAAGCTAGGCTTCAGTCGATGCCTATCATTGGAGAACCCTTTTCCCGCATAGCCGTTGACATTGTGGGTCCACTGGCCAGGGCTAGCCCATCAGGTAAGAAGTATATTCTCACCGTGGTGGACTATGCCACACGTTATCCAGAGGCAGTAGCTGTGACGAGACCAATCTCGCCACATTGCATTGGAGAAGCCTGGTTGCTCGCCTGCTGCCTTTGGACTATGGCCCCCTTTTAAAAGACTTTATTTTGCCTGCAGAAAAGCTGTATTCGTGCTTTTCTGCCGGTTGTTCGGTAGTTTCAATCTACCGAACAACCGCACGAATGAATAGACCACCTGGGAGCTGGAGTGTGCCGGCAATTAACCTCCCTGAAGCTGCGGTTAACCGCAGATTAATTGATGAATGCTGGGTGGCCGCAATTCGTATCCCGAACACGAGGTCGCGGCCATTTTAAAACATACGAATGCACAGCGGTGTTTGCCTCTATTTTCATGGAACTAAAATCAGACACAGTTTTGCGCGAACACCGCTGGAGCCGCCGACCTCCCTTCTTGTTCGGTGGAAGTGCACGAACGGCCCGGTGTTCGGTATTTTTGTTCGAATGTATTATACCCCAGATAGGAATCCCATGGAGCCCATTCGAATGAAACTGACTGTGTGAAGACTTTAGCTCCATGGCGATTAAACTGTATTCGTGCGGTCTGAGTGCCATTCACTTAATAATGTGCACTCAGACCTGAGCTATCTGGGGATATGTTACATGTCTGTGTTTTATGTAGTAAATGTTACTTTATGTATTTTAAAGTATAATACTGGTTTTGTGTCCCCACATGTGTAATGGAGTTTTGCCTTTGTCTTGGGAGATAATTGAGTTACTTCTCAATTATCTCTCAGGGCAGAGGGGAGGAAGCCAGGATGCATTGTGGGAATATACTGTGACTGTGTGTCCTATTTGTCTACTTGTCTGTCCCTTGTCACAGTCTCCCATTTGGTCCCCTAGGGGAGTGTCCACCAGGTGGGAGACCTGCATAAAAGCCGGGCAGGTAGCCCTCATTAAACAGACCACTGCTTGACCCTCAACACGGAGCCTTGTCTCGTCTTTGGGGGGATTTACTGTATGCTGCTAAGGACTGATTGCCAGGAGTGTAAGCCGCTTGGGAGCTTTTCCTGTTCGTCTGGTAGCAGCAATTCGTATGGTTCCTGTTCGTGTATTTGGAGTGCTACCTTATTCCCTTGTATGCCGTTCGGGAGTTTGGAGCATTCACTTGTATGCAGTTCGAGAGTTTGGAGCATTCACTTGTATGCAGTTCGAGAGTTTGGAGCATTCACTTGTATGCAGTTCGAGTGTTTGGACCATTCCCTTGTATGCAGTTCGAGTGTTTGGAGCATTCCCTTGTATGCCGTTCGGGAGTTTGGAGCATTCACTTGTATTCAGTTCGTGAGTTTTGGTGATTCTACAGTAGCTGTGCCTGTCTCTGAAAGGGGATTATCGTCTAAGCGGTTTTTACCCCTTTTGTGCAAAACGGTCCGTTACAGTAGCGCTGTCTAATATAGAGGCAGAGACGGTTGCTGATGCCCTGGTTAAAATTTTCACTAGGGTCGGGTTCCCTCAGGAGATTCTCTCCGATCAGGGCACCCAGTTCACCGCTGTGCTTACCCAGCAGCTGTGGAAGGTGTGCGGTATTAAACCTCTGCTTAGTTCACCGTATCACCCACAGACTAACGGTCTCTGCAAGCGATTTAATGGCACCCTCAAACAGATGCTGAGGACCTTTACTGACTCTTGCAGAGACTGGGAGCGATTCCTGCCTCATCTGCTATTTGCATACAGAGAGGTACCCCAGGAATCTACTGGATTCTCCCCCTTTGAGTTACTCTATGGGAGAAGGGTCCGTGGACCCCTAGATCTCATTAGAGGACACTGGGAGGGGGAGACAGAGCAACCTGGAACTCCGGGACCGCATGGAGAAACTATCCATGATGGTAAGGGAGAATCTCCAGGCGGCCCAGGGGAGACAGAAACGGTGGTACGATCGGGGTGCCCGACAGCGGGTCTTCCAGGTTGGGCAGAAGGTTCTGGTACTCAAACCTGTGAAGACAAACAAGATGCAAGCATCTTGGCAGGGCCCGTATAAAGTGTTAGCTCAGGTATGTGATACTACCTACCTTATAGCCAGCTGTTCCGATGAAAGGATTCAGCGATCCTTCCATGTGAACATGCTGAAGGAGTATCAGGAACGACCAGAGGATGTTGCGGCAGTATGTGCCCCAGCTACTGACGACCCCGAGAACTTACCTTTACCTGACTTGTTAGAGAGGGATCCCCAGACAGACCTTACTAGTCTTGTACAGCTGGTGGACCGGCTAAACCCGGCAGAGAAGGTACAGGCGAGACAGTTACTGTGGGAGAAGCAGGCGACATTCTCCCAAGAACCCGGGTACACTACCCTAGCTGTACACAAGGTCGAGACACCCGGACAGAACCCCCTACGACAACCCCCATACCCCAGACAGACCGAGAAGGAATGCGGAAGGAGATACAGGAGATGACCAGGCTGGGGGTTATCGAACATTCAGACAGCCCTTGGGCCTCGCCTGTAGTTCTGGTGCCTAAGAAAGATGGGACCACCCGGTTCTGCGTGGACTACAGGCGGCTCAACGAGCGGACCACCACTGACGCCTACCCTATGCCCCGGGTAGACGAGTTATTAGACCGTGTTGCCAGGGGGCGCTACCTGACCACCATTGACCTGTGTAAAGGTTATTGGCAGATCCCCCTGGCCGAGGATGCTATCCCTAAGTCGGCATTCGTCACCCCCTTTGGCCTGTACCAGTTTAAGGTTATGCCATTTGGGATGAAGAATGCTCCGGCTACTTTCCAGCTTATGGTGGATAGGCTCCTCGATGGCTTCCAGGACTTTGCATGTGCATACCTGGATGACATTGCGGTCTACAGTGAGACCTGGAAGACCACTTAGTACACCCCCACGTGGGGGTGGTGCTGGACAAGATTCGGGCCACAGGCCTGACCTTGAAGCCAGACAAGTGCCATCTAGGCATGGCAGAAGTGCAGTACTTGGGTCACAGGGTAGGATGTGGAAGCCAGAGACCGGAGCCAGCCAAGGTAGAGGCTGTAGCTAACTGGCCCACACCTATCACCAAGACCCAAGTGCTGGCCTTCCTGGGGACAGCAGGGTATTACTGACGTTTTGTCCCCGACTACAGTACGGTTGCTAAGCCCTTGACTGACCTGACTAAGAAGAATTTGCCTAAGCAGGTCCTGTGGTCTCCAGCTTGTGAAGCCGCGTTTCAAGCACTTAAGCAGGCTCTTGTGAATGCCCCTGTCCTGGCTGCCCCAGTCCCTAACAAACGTTTTCTTGTTCATACAGATGCTTCCATGTATGGACTGGGGGCTGTGCTAAGCCAGGTCGGGGAAGATGGAGGAGAGCACCCTGTCGCATACTTAAGCAGAAAGTTACTACCTCGGGAAGTGAGTTATGCGGCAGTGGAGAAAGAGTGTTTAGCCCTGGTCTGGGCACTGAAGAAATTGAGCCCTTATTTGTACGGGCAGGAGTTTTCCCTTATAACGGACCACAACCCCCTTGTCTGGCTTAACCGGGTCTCAGGAGACAATGGCAGACTGCTGAGGTGGAGTTTGGCACTGCAGCCTTACAACTTCACCATCAGCTACCGACCCGGTAAGCAGAATGGGAATGTGGATGGGTTTTCCCGGCAAACAGACGTCCCTACTCCTTCCCAGTCCGGTCATCCCCAAGTTGACCCGCCAAAGGGTCAAGCCGGGTCTGCCGGAGTGTTCCACAAGGGGGGAGCCGTGTGACAGACCCATCTGTCTGGATTAAAAGTACTGTGTTCGTCTGTTTTGCCGGTTACATGAATTTCCCCATTCGCTTTGTTTAAGGGAATGTCGGTTTTTGTCGAACGAAACTACCGAACGGACGGCCACCCAGAAGAGAAGTGTGCTGCTGGTTAACCTATTGATCCCAATTAGAACGTTGCGGTTAACCACAGACACTTCTCAATTAAAACCGAATGCCGGGTGGTCGTCGTTCGTATGTCGACCACGAGGCGGCGGCCATTTTAACCATGCGAAAGACCAGCGGTGTTTGACGATTATTTCATGGATCTGAAAACGGACACTTTTTCAACCGAACACCGCTGAAGCCGTCGACCTCCCCTTCTCAATCGACAAAAGCATACGAATGCCGGCCGTTCGGGAGATTCAACAACACGAATGGACTTAACCCAGATAGCCGTCCCATGGAGTCAATCGCATACCGAAGAACTGTAATAGACTTTGACTCCATGGCGATTGAACTATGCGAATGGGATCTGAGCGCTATTCGCCAATAATATGCACTCAGATCCAGGCTATCTGGGGATGTGTTACACGAATGCAATATGTTTGGCAGTTATAAAGTTATAGATTTTTATGTGTTTTGTGACTTGTATTTAAAATGGCGATTTGCCTCTGCTCGGGGAGATAATTGAATTACTTCCCAATTATCCCCCAAGCAGAGGGGAGGGAACTGTGATGCATGATGGGAATATTGTGGGGATGTGTGTCCAAAATGTCCCCATGTCTTTCTGTAATTCCAGTCTCCCATTTGGTCCCCTAGAGGAGTGTCCACCAAGTGGGAGACCTGCATAAATACCGGGCAGGTAGCCCACAGTAAATCAGTTCGTGTTTTACCTCAAAGCGGAGCTTGGTCTCGTTATTGGGGGGATTTTATTACCGGTGACTAGAGACTGCTTGTTTGGATTATTTGCCGCTTGGAAGATATTGGCGTTCGGTTACTATTGTCAGTTCGTGGATTTGGAGCTCGTGAAGGGAAAGAGCCGTACAGGTACCGTTCGGGAGTTTGGAGTGTTCCCTAGCTGGCGGTTCACATGGTTTTACTATACCCGCTACCAGACCACATTATTGCGAACGGGGCGCATTCGCTAAACGGCGGTTTGTGCATTTTATTACTGGAGGTACAGTAACAGATGCTTTTCCTATTCGTCTGGTAGCAGCAATTCGTATGGTTCCTGTTCGTCTGTTTGGAGTGCTATATTGGATGCCGTTCGGGAGTTTGAAGCATTCACTTATTGTATGCAATATATACATACAATAGGTGGGACACACATCTGCAGATTCTAAAAAACAAAATAAGACATTGTGACTAAATGCCTTTTGTCCCTGTATTGTTAGGTGACAAGCTGCCCTTTGCCCCCGGCTTTTGGAGGAGCCTGATTGCCAGCCTCCTTCCTCATGACTATGGCCCTGGGGTGTATTGCCATTTAAAAAAGACTATTTGGGGCTTATTGGCTTCTAAAGACAGTTTCTTCCCATTGGAATCCATGGGAAGGTGTGTTTCTTCCCCTCCCCCGTTTCTTGTCTATTGTTCTCCAGCAGGGCGTTGTCCCAGGCACACTGCCAAACCAGTTGGAACTGACTGTTTTTGTCCCTCCTTGGTTTCTCAACAGCCCTTGCTATGCTTTACCCCGTGGAAAATCTACTCTGTTCATGGGATCTGAGCGCTGTTCACCTAGATTGGGCGCTCAGATCCGAGCTATCTGGGGATAGGTTAAATGTGGGGGTTCTGTGTAATAAAATAAGAATTATGTATTTTTATGTACTTTTACGTATTTTTGCTGTTAGTGTAAAATGTAGATATTTTCTGTACCTGGAGATAATTGAGTTTACTGCAGTGCCTTAAGCCAATTATCTCCAGGATGGAGAGGAGGGATTTCATTGTGTATGTGAGAGTGTTATGTTAATTAGTGTTCCCATTGGTTTGTGTCCCTTTTGTCACAGTTTACCACCAGGTCCAGGGGGTGTGCCTCTGACCTGAAAACTTGTATATAAGGAGTAATAAACGCTCATTGGAGTCAGATCATCTTGTACCTTCATGAAGTTTCGGCTCATGTTTGGGGGATTGGAGAAACTACACTCTGAGGATTGCTATAATCACTATACTCCCCAGGGTATAATCACTAAGCTCTGCTAAGAGCTTGTTCCTGTCCCTGCTCTCTGGAATTCGGAGAGAGGTAGACCTGCTGGAAGCTGGACCCTGGTCCTGGGTCCAGAGTGGGTGGAGACGGCGAGACCCCAACCAAGCTGCGGCGGTTCGTGGGGTCTGCAGTGGTTATGGTGTCAGGCAGAGTGCTTGGAGTCCTCGGAAAGCACTAGGAGCATCCGTCGGCGGAAGGTACCCGGTCGGGGTGCCAGCGGTTCCGTTACAGTGGTGGCAGCGGTGGGATGGCGTCCTAGTGCGAGGAGAAGCAGCGCAGAGGCACCACTAACATTTGGAATTCGGAGAGGTCAACCTACTGGAAGCTGGACCCTGGTCTTGGGTCCAGAGTGGGTGGAGACGGCGAGACCCCAACCAAGCTGCGGCGGTTCGTGGGGTCTGCAGTGGTTATGGTGTCAGGGAGAGTGCTTGGAGTCCTCGGAAAGCGCTAGGAGCATCTGTTGGCGGAAGGTACCCGGTCGGGGTGCCAACGGTTCCGTTACAGACATCATAGTGTAATATATCAAAATAAACTGTAATCAGTAGAGATAGAGCAGTATTACTCACAAGCCTAGAGCCAATTTAGACATATGGCTCTTATGTGCAGCGCAGTGGGACTTTTATTTGGATGTCCCCATTCCTCTTGGTATTCCTCCTTGGGTAGAAGATCACAATATTCCAATGTGTTTCCAATGAGGGAACTTTATTGTGAAATAACAGTGAATATCAAAAAGTATGGAAATAAATATTCCCAATGAGAATTAAAAATATAGACAAAAAAAGTCCAATTAAAAGTCCAATATGTAGACTATGTAAGTCCAAAATGCGTTTCGCCCTATGGTGGGGGCTTCCTCAGTTGGCATCAGTCTGTATATCCAGTGGCAGCTTCTTGGCGTCCTTATAAAGCACTCATCTTCTTTGCTTCCGGGTTTTCTGTGTTTGGAACGCATCCTGCGTTCCACCACCGGTTTCCTACGTGTCACTTCCGGTCTGACGTTGCGCCGGCATCTCCATGTACGTCACTTCCGGTTTCGGTCCGTGGGGCACTTCTATGATGTCACTGGAATTCATAGAATCAGATCTATGCGTTCCACTGTAAATAACTGCCATTTGTTGAGTCTCTTTATCATTGGACACCTCTAAATGATTCTTCAATATGTTATCGCTTCTAAAGTATTATATATACACAAAAACGAAGCTATGCATATTATTTACCTCTAGTGTATTCTACATACATGAATAACAAAAATACACGTATTAATTGGTGAGTGTATTATTCTTTTCACATAATAAATTTATATAGGTGACAATGAATTCATGCCAGTGATATCATATCATATAGAAAGTGACAGCCCATAGAAAGATAGAAACATATGAAAAAATAATAATAGGTGGAATGTGTAAAATATATAAAATATATATAGAAAATACTTTATATTAAAAAGAATAAGAGTGTAAAAATATTTGGTTGTTTGAGAAACTTATGAATATTTTATGTACAAAAATTAGGACTAAAATTAGACCTTAAAAGTTAAATAAAATGACAAATTTCGAAATCTGAATTCAGACCATGGGGAATTAAGGTATTAAAATTAAAAATGAATTTCATCTCTTCCGAGCCTATTTTTTTATTGTAATCTCCACCTCTCCAATCTTTTTTAACCGTTTTGAGTGGGCAAAAGAAGAGGTGTTCTGGATTAAGGTTATGATAGAGTTTAAAATGATTGGAGACACTGTGGGTTTCAAGACCTTTTTTA